CTAAGGATTGTCCGACTGCAGCTAGGCCTGCTTCCCGCTGGCAAGTGGACATCCCCCGAGGGCTCCCGGGCTGCCAGAGGGATGTCTGACTGCCAGCTTAGGCCCAACCCCCAGGGAGTAGGCCTAAGCCAGCAGGTGGGCATCCCCCGAGGTGTCCCAGTTTGCAAGAGGGCACAGGCCGGGCTGAGGGACCCCCCCCCGCCCGAGTGCACAAATTTTTGTGCACCGGACCTCTAGTATGTTCATAAACTTTAAGAAGCTTTAAATATAAGCATTTATTTACCTTTAGATTTGAGCGAGAACTTTTCCTTTTACTCCTCGTGAATTAGGCTCTTTCTTAGAACTCCATGTTTCTACCTTTCCCTTCATAGCAACAAAATCCTCTGCGGGCATGCTATGATTGGAATGGCTTTCTGTTAAACAGCTGGAATTGATGTCTTAAAAGTGTAACCCATCTCAACCAGATGCAACAAAAGGAGTAGTTTGTGGCTCATATATTTGTCTTCCTTGTATTGCCTGGTCATTAATATTTAATATTTTATTTCCCTGATAATTTTAATAAAAAACGATATATATTCCACAGATTTCAATGGGACAGATGCTTCAAGATTTTGGAAAATTTCTTGGGATGTTCCTTCTTGTTTTGTTTTCTTTCACAATTGGATTGACACAACTGTATGATAAAGGCTATACTCCAAAAGAGCAGAAGGACTGTGTAGGCATCTTCTGTGAGCAACAGAGCAACGACACCTTCCATTCGTGAGTGTCTTTTATAGTTTTCAGTAGATATATTTCTCTCTTTCTAATATGTTGTGTAGGAATTAGTACTGACAGAAATAGAACTTCAAATCTTCTTTAAGAAATTCCTTTTTAATAAGAAATACTTATTTTTAATGTATCACTTGATAGTTATCTTTACATATAGAATCTTTAATTAGCAGGCCCAGATTATGCCATTGGCTCCCCCCTGTAGGCTGTGTGAGTGGAGGAGCTCTTGGCACTTCGTGCACTACTGGCTTGGGACAGGGCAGCTCTTCGTGGGTTGTATATATCATAAGATGTTCAGCAGCTCTGCTTCTCACTCACTGTTACAACCAAAACAGTCTCTCACATTTTTAGCTTGTTAGGAGTTATTAGTATGGACAATTATTAGAGCTTTATGAACAATTTTTTCTCAAATTTACTGTTATCATAATACATACATACTTTAATTATGCTCAATAAGGAATTGAACAACCAGTTGTGAGGCAGACAAAATATCACCCCCTCATTCTTAAATAAAATAATGGAGAAGAGGTGTGGAATTGCATATTTGTTGTGTTTTATGTACCAACTCTTCTTCAGTTACTTTCATGTCATCTTATTTAGGGAATAAGATTAGATAAATAATAAATGTTCATCCAACCCTTCTGCATACCAAACACCATTCTAAGTGCTGAGTGAGTAAAACATCGATGAGCAGGACCACCTCATGGAGCTTATATTCTTATGAGGTGATACAGACAATAAGAAATAAAATATATGATGTATTACATGGTGATAAGGGCTAACAAGACAAAGCTTGGGCCAGGGGATGTATGTGTGAGGGTACAGTTTTAGATAGGATATTAGGGAAGGCCCACAGAGATGACATTCAGATAAATATGTAAAGCTGGTGAAAGATCAAGCAGCGAAGGAGGGGTCTGGAGGAAGAGCATCAGCAGAGAGAGGGAATGGTAAAGGCAAATGCCCTGAGTTGGAAGTATGGCTGCAAATTCAAGGAAAAGTCAGGAGGCCAGTTTGGGCGGGGTGAATCCCAGTGAGAGCTGTAGGAGATGAGGTCAGAAAGATAATGGGATCATGTAGGACCTTGTTGGCCCTTGTAAGGGTTTTGGGCTATTGAGATAGCCATTTGATATTTTTGAGCAGAAGAGTGACAAAATCTGATTAGGCATTAATAGGATCATAGACGTTGGTATGTTAATAATGGACAGAAAGGCAATAAGAGATGAAAGAGGAATCATTTCTCTTCCTTTTGAGTCTACTTCTTTGTTTAAAGTAAGGCATATCTGTACTGTTGGGTTCACCTCATTTATTTTATAAAGTATTATTCTTGGATTATCAATGTTTTTTTTTACATAATGTTGATATAAATGAATTCTTCATTTTTGCTAATGATTTAATTTTTTTTTAAACAAAAATGTAATCGTCTTTACAGGTTCATTGGCACTTGCTTTGCTTTGTTCTGGTATATTTTCTCCTTAGCACATGTGGCAATCTTTGTCACAAGATTTAGCTACGGAGAAGAACTGCAGTCCTTTGTGGGAGCTGTCATTGTTGGCACGTACAATGTGGTGGTTGTGATTGTGCTCACCAAGCTTCTGGTGGCAATGCTGCACAAGAGCTTTCAGTTGATAGCAGTAAGTGTCTATTCTTATAAAAACTCTATATTCTCTTCAGATCATACCCAATGTATGCAGTAGATAAGGCACCCAAATATTATAAGAATTAAGAATTAGTTTAATTTTAAAATTAGATTTTTAATGCAAGTAATGTATAATAACAGCACATCGTGAATCAAATTTTTACCTACAAGATGTAGAAACGTGGGCAGTTTAAAACGATATCTTTTTCTCTGCCACTCCCCATGTGCATGTTCATATTCTATTCGGCTTTTTCATTTGCCTTTTACAGAATCACGAAGACAAAGAATGGAAGTTTGCCCGCGCAAAGTTGTGGCTTAGTTACTTTGATGACAAGTGTACATTACCTCCACCTTTCAACATCATTCCTTCACCAAAGACCATCTGCTACATGATTAGTAGCCTCAGTAAATGGATTTGCTCTCATACATCAAAAGGCAGGGTTAAACGGCAAAACAGTTTAAAGGTAAGAGACTAGAATTGAAACATAGAAGTTTTAATAATTCCTAACCTCAGCTGTTTCCTCAGGCATAAATATGCAGGCTTCTTAAGGCCTGGGACTGTCTTGATTTTTTTTACTCCTGTATCTCTAATGCACAGGATAGATATAACATAAAGTAAGGACTCAGTAAGTATTTTTGAGAATGAGAGATAGAGCTGGAATTTTTTCATGAAATCTCATCTCAGTTTTAAAACATGCAGAAAATATTCATTATCCCTATTCTGTGAGCGTAGATACTGATATCTCATATTTTTTCTGGTTCTTCTTGAAAGTTATTCAATACATGAATAATTTAATACATGTTGCTATAAATCAGAAGTTGGCAAATTTTTTTCTGTAAAGGGCCAGATAGTAAATAATTTAGACTTTACAGGCTGAGACAAAATCAAAGATTTATGTGAGTACTAATAGAATAAGAAAGAACATAAATTTCCACTAAATTTTTATTGATGAAATAAAAATGTAACAATAATTGAGTAATTATTAAAATTATTAAATTTTTGTTAATACAGATCTATTAATGAAAAGAATGGAATTCCATTTGGGGAGGATAACATTTTGTTTAATTGGGGTTCAGAATTACTGTTCCCAGCCTTGCCGTGTAGCTCTGTTGGTTAGAGTATCATCCTGATACACCAAGGTTGCGAGTTCCATCCCCAGTCAAAGCACATACAAAAATCAACCAGTGAATGCATCGATAAGTGGAACAAGTTGATGTCTGTCTGTCTGTCTGTCTGTCTGTCTGTCTCTCTTTCTCTCTTTCTCTTTCTCTCTCTCCCTTTCTGTCTCCCTCCGGCCCTCCCTCCCCCTTCCTCTCTTTCTAAAAAAATCATTAAAAAAAGAAATTGCTGTTTCCTATCATCAACCTAGTAACAAATGTTCATCTGTAAACCCATTCTTAGCCAACAAGCCATTAAAACCAGGAAGTGGGTCAATTTGACCTGTGTGTAGGTAATAGTTGGCTAATTCCTCCTATAAACTGAGGACTCCTATGACTATTTTTGAATCAAAATAAGCACACAGGTGAATGAATAAAACAAATATGCAGGCTATATTTGTTTTAAACAAATGTTAAATGTTATTTTATAACAGAGTGGCAAAAGTATAGTCTAATAAAGCATTAGAAGATTTCTGTTTGTATCTGTGAATACTTTTCAAAAATCCACTCTTTTAAATATTGTTTATGCCCATTGTTAGTATCATATTATTGCTTTGTTTTGAAGGAATGGAGAACTTTGAAACAAAAGAGAGATGAAAACTACCAAAAAGTGATGTGCTGCTTGGTGCATCGTTACTTGACTTCCATGAGACAGAAGATGCAAAGCACAGATCAGGCAACTGTGGAAAATCTAAATGAACTGCGCCAAGATCTGTCAAAATTCCGAAATGAGATAAGGGATTTACTTGGCTTTCGGACTTCTAAATATGCTATGTTTTATCCAAGAAACTAATCATTTTCTAAATCACATAGAGAATAATTTTCAATAATAACTCTGAAAGGCTGTTTGCATAACTTGCAATTAAATCATAAGATATATATTGAAATACAGAATTATGTAAAAGCATTATTTAAAATATTTATAGCATAACTGTTATATAAAATATGTATATAGAGTAAGTTTTTTAAAACTTCTGTAGGTAGCTTTTTTCCGAAGCAAAACAGATTTAGTAGACAGGTTTTGTGAGCATGCTGCTTGGTTTTCTTATTTGAACAATGCTCTAAAATTTTTTTCTTTTTATGTTAAAGAAGAGCAGTTATAATTATACACATTGCCAGAAAGTTCTGTAAATGAAGACCAGTAAATGTCTTCCATGGAATAACTTGAAATATTGAAGTCGTGGTTTATAAAATATGTTTTAGGACTTTACATATAATATAGTATTTATTGTTTGGTATTATAGTTTCATCTAAAACAGTAATCTGTTTTTTATTTTATTATAATCCTAAGTAACAAAGAAACAACCTTAATGAATATTTGAATCTATTTATGTCTCTATAAATTTAAATTCACTTCAGTTTCATTATTGTAATATATTTACTTGTACATGGTTGTAATTACTCTTTTTAATTTTGCTTTTTTTCATTTAATAGTATTTTATATATACACTAGAGGCCCGATGCATGAAATTCATGCAAGAGTTGGCCTTCCTTCCCCTGGCTGCCAGCACCGGCTTCCCTCTGGCACCC